TGACTAAACCACTTTTGGTGCAACGGAACACCATGATGGAAACCAGAGCGCACGGAAACACCGTTTACCTTCCTGCCACAGCAGTACCTATTTATCTACTTGCACTGATGTGCTTTCGAACTGCTAGGTTGGCAGGAGCTGGGACAGAGCAACGGGAGCTCACTCCATTGCGGGGATTCAAACCACCGACCTTTTGATCGGCAAGCCCAAAGAGACTTAGTCTCAGCGCCACCCGCGTACAGGGCCAAGGCCATTTAGGGCTTTAAAGGTCATTTATTGCCTTGGCTCTGGCTTATAGTCTGATCTTGCCTGATCTTCAACCCATCTGTGATCATGTCTCCTTCCACTGACAAGTCCCCCCCCCCCCCCCGCCCAGCTTATCTGTACCAGAATCAGAGTGCCATTGTAGCCTGGTGCAAAGCTAAGCTCCAAATATGACCACCACATTACCAAGATCTGCACTCCAGACCTTTATCTGCAGAGGTGTTTTTTTTTTAATGAAGTTTATTTTATTTATGTATCTTAATTTTAATTTAAGGAATGTTTTTATGCCACCTTTCAGTGACAAGATTATTTCTAAGGTACATTGCATAAAACAGGTGTTCCTTTAAAAAGCTCAACAATTTTCAGGTTGTCCTGGTTTGTACTTTTTTGAAATATGACAACCCTAATAAAAGGCATACTTGCAAATAATATATTTTTTAGTTCATATGAGGAAGTTTTATTTTTAGTAGGTATGCTGCTGCTTTTTCTTTTCTTTTCTTTTCTTTTCTTTTCTTGCCTTGTGGGGATGACAGTATTTTTTTTTAAAAAAATCCAGCGGCAAGGCTAAAAAATTAATAAACTAGCCTGAAATTATTTGCTAGAAGCAGTGCTATTAATGATCATTCAGTACAACACATTAACTAGATTTCATTAACTGGAGCAAAACAATTGCAAATTATAATAGGCTTCACAGTTATGCTGGAATGTGGTGAATACAGTAACATTATTTGGTCTGCTTGCCTTTTTACATCCGAAAGCCCTTTCTTCCTACAAATGTGGAAATTAAATTATTTCTCAATAACCCAGTAGATTTTAGACTGCAAAACAATATCTTTGAAGAAACAGTCACTGTCATTTGTACAGTATTGT